TGAGCCTGTGGGAATGGCAAGAATCAGTGGAGAGGTTAAGCAAGACACCAAGAGAGATCCACCAGTTAGAAAAGGAATAACAAATACAGATTATAAATAAATAGCCAGGAGTGAAGTCATAAAAGGAGATAAAGAGTAGATTAAATGCAAGGACAACTCTGGAGCAACTCCAGATAGGTCAGGACATGAGGAGGAGTTGGCACGGTGAGCTCGTGTGTGGTTCACTTCTGTAGGGCAGTGACGTACGAGGCTCCAGCAGATTCTGGAGTCAGTGTCCATCTTGACAAGGGACAATTCTGTAGATCTTGTGTTCTAAGTAAAACAGCGCCTTTCCTAATTTTTTCTAAGCCTATGGCTTATTCAGTATTTACAGTAAGTACAGTAAGTGCTGTTTTTGCCAAAAAATTTTCACATCTTCCACTGCTAGTCATTTCATTAGTTATTAGCTCTAAAAAGGACAGTTAATTCTGCAATGAACACAAGAAATATTTATTTTTAAAAGAATTTTAAGACTTACCACAGTAGATCATTTGTTGGAAAACAATTTAAGACAAGCACATACCTGTATTTAATGTACGTCCCAAACTCTTAATCTTTAGCTTTTCATATAGTCAGAATGTCATTTAAAATAAATTAGTATTCAAATGTATACATATAATTTACCTGTGTACCATTTTCTTAGATCTAATCAATATGTTCTCTTTTTCAAAGAATTTAACAAAAACCTCAACTGATAACTTACGTGTATTCTAGATGCTTTTGTGTTAACACATGTTAAAAGTGGTTTTTGTTTTTTTAAACCCAATTTTCCTAGTGCAAAATTATTCCTAGGGTGTAACTGAGAATTTTCTTCCTCTTCTTCTTTTAGAGTTCAGTGTACAGTATACTGAAGCTATTGGGTTTTTTTTTCAAATGATTCACCTCAGCGTTTAATAAACATGATTTTAGCATACACGGTTTGAATCTCATATTTGTGTGATCACTTCAAGATAAATGATTTTGAGAAATCAAACTATCTATTTCTACTTGTTGTAGCTAGTTACTTCTTAAAGATAAAAGCAGAAGTTTTCCAATTCCAGTTGAGAAGAAATAATTCTCTTTTGTTTTATTTGCTTCATTGAGTCTACATGAAAGAGTTTATACTTGCTCAGAAGAATATCATTACAATTATTCAAACACAGTACTCAAATGATCAGATGAAAAGCCATATTTCAATAAGTGTGAGAAAGGATGAGGTATACTTAATACAATAGGCCAGGTTTGGAAAACGTTTTCAAAGTTAGTATTTTTACATTTAATTGGCATGTTTGATGTTGAGTAGAGATGAGACAACTAGTGAGTTATCTTGCATGAAACAAAATTAGAAATGTTTTAAATTGA